TTGCAGGCACAAAAATGTTGGTATAAAATTAGAGGCTATTTCCTAAAAGCTGTGCCTAAATTTTGATTATATACTATATGAGGGGTTGTTATTTTGAAACATCTGTGTTTAAAGTAACAACAATAGCAAAACTTTAAATTAGCATAGGAGATTTAAGACATTTCAGGAAAACATTGATTAAATCTGCCAATGAAATGAACGTGTTTGGCAAGTGACCTAATTAGTGTATACTTGGTTCTTTTTCACTGCACTGCTTACCACTAATTGCTGTTCTGCTGGTCTTCCTCTGACAAGTAAGAAAAAACAAGGATGAGGGATTTGTTGAGGAAATAGTGACATTCAGTTTTAATTCATTTGAACCTGCTGCCAAGCTTAATTATGGAACTGTGAAACTGAGGCCGGGAGGCCCCCAGCCATTTAGGTTATAGGAGACAGATATGTTTAGTGTCTGCCAGTGTGTTTGGGTAGCACTTATTGCAGCTAGCTATAAACTTCTTGCTGATGCTTAGTTGTTTTCTTCCCCCCACAGGTACTAAAACACTGGGTTTATTCCTTAAATTGAATTGTTTAGCTCTAATGGCATCAGGCCAAAACAACATTGCAGGCATTTTATTTCTTAGAGGAAAAGTTTAACAGTTAATCTAGGTAGTCCCATCTCGAGTTTGTTTGTATGTGTGTTTGCATGTATAAACTAGTGATATGTCCTACAAAAACCTTGCCTGGGATCCAGGAATACTTGTAGCATTGGAGTGCCAAAGTCACCCTCAGTATAAGTACACTTGAGCTGAGGGGCTCACATTCATGATAAATTCAATTCCCATCTCTCGAAGCAGCAGGGGATAACAAAATTTTCCCTCTTTGCATTTGGAGCTCTTAAAGGAAAAGGGCAGATGCTTCATGAAAAAAACTGGAAATAGTTTTGGTTTCCTGTGGTGGTGATGGATTCTTGTGAGCAGAGTCTGAAGGCTGAAGGTCCTGATTTAGAATCCGAGTGTGTTTTTCATGATATTCTGCACAAAACGGGTGGGGGGGGGGGGGGGGGGGGGGGGGGAATGTATAATGCATTGACCAGAATGTTTAGAAGGCAGTGGTGCACACGCAAAAAAAAAAAAAGAAAAAGAGGGGAAAAAAAAAGGCTGTGGAATTTTGGGGTAGCAGAGGGTGGGGCTGGTGGGGCTTGCACTTGTTTTTCAAGGAGCAGAAAGATATGTAGATGTTTTCTTAGAGCAGCAGCATCCCATTGGCAGACCCTGGTCTGAATCTCTCCTGCAGGATGCTTCCAGCCAGCCTGCTGCCTTTTCCCAGAAGGAACTAAGGAACAGTTATCCAAGCCTGAGCAGCCAAACCCGCCCATGCTGCACCTGCCAGGGGCAGACAGAGCAGCCCAGCTCTGCTGGCAGCACAAAGGGGAGCCCAAACTATACCTGCTCCAGCCACAGCCTGGGCGCCAGAGAAGGGCTCTTGGCAAAGGGAGTTTGGGGATTCTATGGGAAGAGCTGGAAAGGCTTGTTCTGATACAGAGCCTTAGCTTCTGTGGGGACTAAATCTACCCTGAAAACTATATAAAATAAAACAACAAACCCCCACAAACAGTCAAAAACACAGACAAAAAAGCCAGCACTACCTTGTCAGTGTGTAAAACTCAAAAAATGAAGTGAGATTGTAAACAAATGAAATATGTTAGTGTAGGTCACCAGCATAAGCTGTAAACATCTACATGGAAGAACATAAACTGTACAAAAAGGCAGCATGCCTGGTTTTCTGTTATATAGCATTGTAGGGTTCTTGTAAGGATACTTGAATGCTGAAACAGCCTGGGAACTTGGCTTCCCTTGCAGCAGATTAATGTTCTTTGGATGGGTTTTCAGCCATGGAGTGATTTTGTCCTGATGTTCTGTGTGTGGTGGAGAGATGTGTCGGGAGGGGGGAGCGCCAGAAAAAAGATTACATGGAATGAAAATGAACTTGAGAGAAGGAAGAACAGTTTTAAAGTGAGACTGGGAGTAGTAGTACTAGAATGCGTAATGGGTGGCTAAAGATGCAAGGTTTTTTGTCTAGAGACTCTCACTGGAACTCTGATACGGTTATATAGGCACTTGTGCCCATTGAATAAATGTTTAGAAGATATTCATGGTTTTAGATATAAAACCATGAATATGTAGTTTTAACAGATATTTAACAGATAAATATTAAAACATGTTTCTTGATTAACATCTGGCCTGATGTTAACCTTGAGTAATTCACTATGTTAGATATACCTAATCCCTATAATACAGCACTGGAATATTTGTATACATTCTGGTTTATACTTACAAGCAATACTAACTTAGATGTGAATACTTACCATGTTGTCTGGAAAGTTGTATTAAAAATAATTTCCCTTCTATTACTGCATACATGAATCCTGCACTGTACACTGATGATAAATATAAAAATCCAACTCTATTACCTGCTTTTGATGTTGAAGTTAAAACATTTTTTTTCACTTTTACCACCTATTGGGCATGAACATGGTGAGAAGTAAAATGAAATTTAGTCTCCTGAGAAGAGTACCTTCCTAGCCTTAAAAATAATTTGCTCTGTGTTTGATCCATGCCATCCCATGACTTCCAAAGGCATTTCAGATTTTCATTTTTGCATCTCTGGCTTCTTGTCAGGGTCTCCCATCTAGGAAGATGGAAGCTGCACCTAATTGTATCTCCTCCTTCCCCCCAGAAGCTTCTCTCCCAAAGGGCAAAGGCATTAGAGAAATCCAGAGAGGACTCTTGCTCTCTTGTAGAATGTTTGGGTTTTTTTTTTGTTTGTTTGTTTCAAAGCAGCATTAGCTTCACTGCCACTCGGCAGTGAACAGTAAGGTTGGATAGCATCCTGCAAAGCAAAATGCGATGCAGAACAAGTTGATTTAAAAATGGCATGCATGGTAGCAATAAAAAGGGAAAATCAAGTGGTGGAATCTGAGCAGATAAAACATCCCCCACCTCTCCAAACTGGCCAAACTCTAGTGCACTTCTTCATGGTGTTATTAGCTCTTCTGTCCCAGTATATGGTTGTTTCAGGCTTTCCTTCAATATGTAGTAATGTCCTACTAAAAACTTTACCCCAAACAAAATGGAAACACCCCCCCCCCGAAACCAAAAAAACAAACCCAGAAAACCGAGTGAAGAAAAGAACAGAGAGATTCAGCTCTTGACTTTATCAAAGTAGTGCTTTGCATACTCTTTAATTAAGTCAGCAGTGTCTTTAACACTTTTGGCTGTTTCTTACTATTTTCAATTTTCTTAGAACTTTGTGAACGATATTTAAGACAAGAAAACAAAAAAGTGTATGTGCACAAAATTAGTTCATCATTGGACTAACCCGTTATCAGGTCATGCATGCATACCAAAATAATAATAAAGAGATGTTTATGACTTCAGGGGCAAGGTGATCAAAAGCACACACTCTTCTACCAGTTTTGGTGCAGAAAGGAGGGTGATAAGGCCTCCCAGGAGGAGGAAGAAAGTCTGGCAAAAGAAATAAAAATGGATACAGCAGAAAAGCATATCTGTGGTTACCTCCTGTATGATGTATATTGACCTAGTAAATGGAGATGTCTGCGAAGGAGCTGCTATGCTATAAATATACTTGTGCTAATATTATTAAAGCTTTCAGGCAGTTCAGTTTTGTCTGTATGGCTTCCCAGGGAGATGCCAAAGAGGTGGCCTCTGGCCACAACTTGTCTAAGCAGCACATGCCTACCTGTACTGTAATTGCTTAATAAGATTTAGGCTGGATTTTTTCCTGGATGGATTGTGAAATACATGCAGCTGCCTAAATAGGTGCTTGGCAAGATTTTAAAATCTTTGTAACTCTATTGAAATCTTTATGCAGAAAGTATCCCTGCTCATGGCAGGGGGTTGGAACTAGATGATCTTTAAGGTCCCTTCCAACCCAAACCATTCTTGCTTCTAAGGCATTTGAATGCTCTTTGAAGATCACAGATAGTTGAGTGCTGAGAAGTTGTGAAAAGTCCATTCTGTTCCTCTTCATCCTTCTTTGTGTCTTTAAGAAAATAAAAATACTTCCAGTGTTGTTGATACCTAGGAAGGGCTTAACAGCACTGGTCTTGCTTGAACATACCACTCTGGTTAAAGGATGGAAAAATTGAGAGGGGAGAAGATAGGGAATGACTGTATGATTAATAAACTAATCCAAATACTGGGGGTAGGAAAGCCACTTAAAAGCAGATAATTATGCCTTGCCAGTCCCTAAGATCAAACCTCACTGAGATGCTGTTCAGATGATACCCTGGAGCAGTTGCTGGTAGGGATGTGTCCCTTGTTTCAGTAGAGAGGGCCATGAGATGAAAGGGATGTGGTTTAACCAGGCTGTGACTTTATTATGTTACCATCTTCTAGAGCTCTCTGCTGTCACTTGTAGAGTGCAGGTTGTGATTTCTCTCTTAATTGCTTCCACCTGCTCTAAAATAGCACTCTCTGCCCCTACACAGATAGCCGCAGCCTGCTACAGAGACCTGCTACCCTCCTCTTCCTAAGCTGAATCCTCATATGGGTTCAAGGGACAGGCAAAGGGTGGTGTTTTCTCATGAAACCAGCCATTGCAGGCTATAGCTTGGTATCACAGGGAGGCCATACTGCTGCCTCCTTGCATGGAGGAGATGGGGCAGGACTCCACAGCCCCATGAGAGTGTGCTCTTGGGCTGCCAAAGTCCTTTTATGTGCTAAGACAGACAAAGAGCTGCCTTCTGTCCGCCTCTTCTGTATATCTTCTTGCACTTTGAAGCTTCAGGTCATTGCACTTCCTTAAACACCATGAAGCTCAGGAGGAAAAGTGTGAGAAACAGAGGTGTGATGTTTGCTGGTGGTGGCAGTGCTACTGGAAGACTATGAGACAATGTGAGAGAATGGAAAGGATTGCCTTCCTTATAAAAATAACATCTTCATGTATGCAAATGCACATGGATGATAATGAAAATGTCTGTTTGTCTGTTTCTCTTTCAGGTTACGGCTTTGTAGATTTTGACAGTCCAGCAGCAGCACAGAAAGCAGTAGCATCTCTGAAAGCAAATGGCGTGCAGGCGCAGATGGCAAAGGTAAGAGTAACTGTGTTATTGCAGGATTATCTGAATTAAAATTGGGTTTGCTCCTATTTTTCTTAAGGTCTTGGTCAATTTTTCCAATGTTATTTTTTTTGTCCTTTGGCTGCAGTGCCTTAGTCACACTATGGCTTGCCTGTGTTCTTGAGAGCTGTGTCTTGTGTGATGGGTTCTGCCCTGGTACTTTGGAGAGGGTTGTAAGATGGAGAGTGCTGGAGTTGCAGAGCGGTTGGAAATGCATTTGTGCTGACTGCAGTGTGAAAAAGTTGCCTTTTCTTCACCTCGAGTTGTCTTCATTTGGTTCCTTTGCCTGGGAATAGTTATTCTTTTCTGGTGTGCCTGGTGGACTTCTCTGAATGAGTGACTGAACATAAGGAAAGTTTTGTTTGGTCTGTCGGTTTGGCTTCTGTCTTTTTATTTTGAGGATGTAAATGGAAGTGTAGTAGGTTGCTGAATGAATAGTTGCTACAGGTTGTCTGGAGGTGACTGGCATCTGTTGTGAGAGAGGCTGCAGGAGCCATGCTGTACATCTTGTAGGAAGCATAGTAAGCACAGATACTCTGATCCTGGAATTGTCCTTAGTCTCTAAGCAAACGGGTAGATGAAGGGGATGGGGGTTATAGCAGTAGCCATCATGTGCTCCAGCTGTTTCCTTTCTGAAGGCATAATCAGGAGCCTTTTCTAGACTCTATCAGTCAGCAAAAATAGCTGTTATTTTGTACTTCAAAAATGCTTTGTCCTAGAATCACAAAAAGCCCTTAATATTGCTTTAGTCTCTGCAAAGATGGTGCCGGCCTACAATCTCAAACAGTGAAAACAAACAGGTAATTACAAAAACAGGGGCAAATCAACTAATAAACCATCACCGATACTATTTATAGTAATGTTGGTGATTTAAAACTTTTGTTTCTCAACAGAGGCATACTAAATATATTTTTGTTAGTTTTTTTTTTGGTTTGGTTTTAAAAATCCTTTGTGGTAAATGAGGTTCTTTTGCCTTCTACTGAATTCACTCACTGTGCCTTAAAGTAACTGGATGTCATCCACATATTTCTGTTTAACCATACCCCACAAGGAAAGTTATGCTGTTTTATTGGCTTATAGTTTTTATTGACATATGGCAATAAAAATATTTGCTTCAAATGGGTAAAAGATGGCAAACTGAAGAATGTGAACACCTACTAAGAACGATGATATTTCCTTTCTCAGATATACTGCCTCTCCTTGTTAAAATAGAGGCAATTTGACACATTAGTCAAGCTGTGAAAAAGAAACAAAAGAGAGGAGATATGTTTTGGCCTCTTGGTTATTATCAGCCATTTTTGGGGACGAGTAAATCTTTAAGTACATTAATTTGTAAAGTTGTAGATTTAAAATTAGACATTTAAAGATAGGATTGAAAGATAAATCTGTATTTGGTATTCTCATGATTCAGAACAAGGAACAATTTCAGCACTTGCATGTGTGGAAATATCAAAACAATGTGACTTAGAATACTGTGTTTTGGATTGTCAAGTATTTTGGGGGGAAAAGCAAAGTCTGACACTTTCAGAGTGGGATGAGCTGTACCAGCCGCTGAGGTTTGTTTTCTGGGGGATCTGTGGTGGGAGAATTGTTTTTGCCCTGCATGATTTTGTGGCAGCTGGTGTGTACACATTTGTTTGCATAAGGCTGACTCTATTTTTGTTATTTAGCCATGGTGCCTGGAATCCCAGATAGGTTCTTTTTAGTGCATTTGATAGTTCAAGATAAATATACAACCGACTTTTCCTATCTCTAAAAAAAACTAAAAGTATTTTAAAAAATGGGGATTCAAAGGAAATTGAGACGACTCTACACAAAGTACTTCACATTGCTGAGAAGGCAGGAGCCTGGGAACACAAATCTATCTGGAGAAGCATGCTAGTTCCTGCGCATGGTGAAAGCCAAATTGCGTAACAAGACTGAAAGACAAAGTTACCTGCCAGTGTCTGAATTAACAGTGAGGGCTCAGAAGAGGTTTGAAGAAAGAGGCAGAAGAAGGATTTAACTTCCACTTTTGGAAGTTTATCTAGAGCAGTTTTGTTTCAAGAATTGCTATAATTAGTGGTGACTAGCAAAAGAAATCAAAGAAAAAAGACTGTGTGAAAAAATTACCTAAACCTTTTAATGCCATACCTTTAAACAGTACAGTCAGTGTCCTGTATCTTTTGTTCTACATTGGAAAGCAGTGGAGCTGCCTTACATAGAGGCCCAGCAGAAGACTGCAGCCTGTGTTCAGCAAATGTCAAAAGCCTCAGTCCAGTCATGGGTGCTTTTCAATAAAGGTGAAAGAGGCGTCAGCCAGCTTTTGCTCTGCTCTGGCCTCTCCAGTAGTGAGAGAAGGTATGCTGAAGTGTCGCTATAGTCTGTTATGTTTTCCTGGAGAGAGCTCTTGCTCGGAAAAATAAGTTCTTTGTAAGTTTTAACACAATATAATTTTTCTCAAAGAAATCCAGGAATCGTCTTTGAAAAACGAAAAGCAGACCTGAACCCCCGCCCATGTTGGCTAGCAGAAGTATCTTGTGGATACTTGAGTAAAATAAACTAATTTTTTCGATGCTTAAATACAGCCACCTCCCTCATTTTTATAGCATTTGGACACCTTTTTGGCTGATTTTATCTGAGAGTGCTGCTTCTGGAAGAAGGTTAAACTCTGGTGGATTTATGCTCCACGTCCCATCACTGTTGGAAAACTTGTTCTGTCAAGGCTAATATACCCCATAATGCTATGCAGGGAAAAACATCATTAAATGTACTTGAATCTCTCTTTTTGTTCTGATCTAAAGTAGTCAGGAGAGGATTCAGCTGAGGGAGAACAGCAGTATTATGCCTGCCGAGGTAGGGGTGACAGCTGGAAAGAGGTCCATGGACCACTTGGTATAACAAGTTGTTGGTGTCTCACCCATGTGAGATCTGTGTGAGACTTGTACACATGTATGTTGTCGCCTCTCTCATTTCTTTCTCATTTGCTTCTCTCATTTCCTTCACACATGCACCCAAAGCAGTAGTTTTGACTACTGCCACTCTCCTATACCCAGTGAAGTTCACCTTAGTTGTCTATAATTTTCAAAAGTGATTGTTAATAATTTCATTTATTCAGAAGATTAATGCTATGGAGCTGCTGAAGTGATAGTTTCTCAGCTGGCTACCTTACTTTATTATGTGCTTCCTGCTTGCCTTTGGAGATAACTCAGACATGCAGATTCATTTGTATGTATGTTGTGCCTGCTTCTCCAGGGTCATAGGGTCAAGGTGGGTTTTTTAATTTTGTTTTCTTACTGAAAATGGCAAATCTAATACGTCACTGAATAATCTCACAATTGATTTGTCTCTTTGTGCTGGGGACTACACAAACACAACATAGAAAAGATAATGCTTATGTGCATGGTTTATATATCAGTTTTGTTTTTTTTCCATCTGTTCCTTCCCTGCATTTTCTAGAAAATGTTGTAGACAGAACATGGAAAATTAATAAGGAGAGTTTTATTGATATGGGAGTTGGCTTGAAGAAGTTGGCAAAGAAGCTAGTACACATGAAAAACCTATCAGTGTTCTAATAAAACCTGTAGCCACATCTATTATTGGGATTTTCAATTGTCCTTCACCCAGAATTACATATTCAGGAGGAGACTTCTTAATCTGCTTTGTATGTAAGCTTTTAATGATGCCGATGAGTCTAAATCACCTGAAGAATCAAGTCTAGGTAAATCAGATGTCTGAAGTTGTGTTAGCCTGAAGTTGGTGGACTGTGCAATCAGTTTATACCTTCATGGACATTTTGTGGTCCTCTTTCGTTTTCAGTTCTAGTCTGCTGTAAGATTGCATAAAGTGGAGGTTCAGGCAATGACAGGTACTTGCAGAGAGTACTTAGTATCTTCTTTAGTATCTAGCAGCCCGTCTAGAGCATTGAAACAAATGAATTCACAAAGGACGTATTTCCAATCCTGCTGTTTTTCCAGTGCATTTATAAGTACTGAAAGATGTATTTGATGAAGGATGTCTTCTCTGGTTTTTCTTTTGTATGTATAATGCATTTAGACATCCTCAGCAACTGTGTGGACATTGAAGAAATATTTTATTAGTGTTGGCAGTTGTCTAAGACCAAGGAACATCTCTCAACTGCTCTGCTACAGTAATTGCCATGCAGAGGGTATACTACAGAGCTGCTTCTGAAAAAGGACTGTGCTGATAGGTTCTGATGTGTTTTGCTTGACAAAGGAGTTACAGAATGTGATTTTGTTTCTTGTGTCATACTCTTCTCATCTCTCCGTCATGCAGAAGCTTAAATACAGGCAGTAATCACCATCTAGGTGAAACATAAAAGGGAGCTGTTTCTTATGGAACAGAATCGTATGTAAGAACTTTTGAAGAGGAACAGAGAGTTGGTTGCTGTATAGTTAAATCGATAGTTTTTTCTCAAAGGGCTAAGGAAGAGGAAATCCCATGGAATAATCTTATTTGTTTTCCAGGCTATTGTGTGGGTTTCAAGAATTGCTGTGGTATGAGTCAGCTGACCAACTAAAATGAGTCCATTCGTCCTGCTCATTTTTCAGCTTCATTTTCTCTTAAAATTCTATCCCTTTTATTCTTATTATGTCATATACCAATACTCTAAGGGGCTGTTGCTTAAAAGGGGAACTGTAGAAAATAGAAAGACTTTCCAGTAAAAGCACCTCTTCTGAATATTTTTTTTAATCTATATTTTTAATGGAAAGTTTTGATTCTCTATATTTTGCAGTTTCAAAATTCATGAAAATATTTAATAAAAGTGCTGTCCTTACAAAATGTGAAATATGGCCTATACACTGAACATCTTATATACTGAACCCCACAAGCGGTTTCTTAATTTATGATTGAAGTGTCTGCAAAATTTAGCTAACCAAACTGCAGGATACGGCTTGTTTGCATTTTTGGACAATATTTATGGATTGCAGCCTACTGACTGAGTCAGCTTTCCTTCTGATACCAAAGCAGGA